GGAAAAGCAAAACAGAGAGAGCAGCGTAACATCACAGAGAAAATTTGGGGAATTGTAAATTGTTAGAGGTTCGTAAGGTTTACTGTCAACCACTGCAAGTCCAAAGCTCTTATTTGATTTAGATTTTTTTGGAAGGATTATGTTTGGATTCTCAATGGCAAATAATAAAACTTTGGCCTGGGAGAGACTGGAAGGCCAGGAAAAGCAAAACAGAGAGAGCAGTGTAACATCATGGAGAAAATCTGGGGAAGCTGTAAATTGTTCGAGCTTAGTACCATTTGCTGTCAACCACTGCAAGTCCTAAGCTCTTACCCGATTTAGATTTTTTGGGAAGGATTATGTTTAGGTTCTCAATGGCAGATAATAAAACTTTAGCCCAGGAGAGACTGGAAACCCAAGGAAAGCAAAACAGAGAGAGCAGCGAAACATCACAGAGAAAATCTGGGGAAGTTGTAAATTGTTCGAGCTTTGAAATGTTTGCTGTCAACCACTGCAAGTCCAAAACTCTTATCTGATTTAGATTTTTTGGGAAGGATTGTGTTTATATTCTCAACAGCAGATAATAAAATTTTATGAGCTGTACCAGCCATTTTTGAGATAATATTTACATTTTATACCTACATTTTATACTTATGTTTTAAGTATGAAGTTTTATACTTACATTTTAAGTATAAAATTTTTCACAGAGAATGACAATATAAAAGCTAAGTTCTGGTAGTAGTTCACTTTTTTTTTATTTCTCTTTGTTATAGAAAATCTATTTAACAATTTTAACTGTGCTTTCATGTTCCATTTATTAATACTTCCTTTTCAAATTATTTTTTTCATCTAATTCTTCTTTATCCCAATATTTGCTCATTTTAAGGAATTAAGAGTGATCTGTGTTTGTAATGGGATTTTGTTTATGCTTTCAAGCCATTAATTTTAAATTAAAATTAGAATAGCTGTAAGGATCTCAGATGCAGATAATAGATTACCAACTTTCGTTGACTGTCTGGGAGCTGTGACTTGGGAAGTTCTTCTTCTTCTTCATTTTCTTCTCTCCCTAGTGTCTTATTTCTCTTTTGCCTATTGCTCCTTTCCTTGATTTCTTTGGACGACAGAGAAGAGGCTTCAAAGGAGCTAAGTGACAGGATATCAATCCCTTTAATACCCAGTGACTGAAATTAAAAAAATCAAACGTGGATGATATTATTGCTGGGTGCTTGGAGTAAAAGCAGAAAGAAAACACTTCAGTGCTCTATATTATTATTTCCTGATAACAATTTTTGTTTCACAAAGATCGTTAAAAATCTTCAAATATGTGATAATGCTAAAAGAAAGAGGAGAGAATTTCCCCAACATATGGAGCACTGAACAATTTGGTATTTGCAGTGTGTTATACCATTACAACTACTGGGCCTGCCAGAGGCAAAATAATCACATTATAGCTCCTACTCCTCCATATGGCAAACTTGCTTACAATAAAAATTCTCAGTTTGAAAATAATGCAGTAGAATATATCCTTTCCCCAAAATAAATGTCCAATCTGTAATAAAAGTCTTTCTTTTCATTGGAGATCCTTGGGACTATATTCACAGTGTGGATGATTTTCCTTCCTATGTTGAATTTAGGGTGATGTTTTTAAAACACAGGAGTATCTTGTTCCAGAAGCTTCTGTGCTATTTAAGTTACCAAGAGACTTTTCATTCAACTACAATAGGTTTTGGCTCAGATGTTAATGCAGCAGAATTATTGTATGTTTCTTTGCTCAGTAGCCCAAATGACAAAATAGAATAAAAAATCATTTTTAAAAAGCTAAATTTTTGATGGAAGCTGCTGGTTGATGGAATTAAATACTTAAAGTAACATCAACCTTTAGTGCATTTTATCCAGAATAAAGTCATTGATTCAGAGGAAACATACACAGCTGAAAGAGGAGATGTTCTGCAGCTCCAGGAATCACTAATTTCAATAAGTTATCACTTGCTCCTGTTTCCATGAGTGTTTTTATATACAGCTGTACACAAGGAGTGATGCTTTTTCTTATGCTTGGATGGGGCTCTGAGCAATTTGGTCTAGTGGAAGGTGTCCCTGCCCATGGTAGGGGCTTGGAGTGAGATGATCTTTAAGATCCCTTCCAGAATTCCCAGGTTGGAAGAGACCTTCAAGATCATACCCAGACCCAACACCTCAATTAAACTCAGGGATGGTGACTCCACCACCTCCCTGGGCAGCCATTCCAGAACTTTATCACCCTTTCTGTGAAAAACATTTTCCTGATATCCAACCTATATTTTCCCTGGTGCAGCTTGAGACTGTGTCCTCCAAACCTAAACCTGCCCTTCCAACCAAAACCTGACCAAAATTGAACAATGAGACAAACACTTGCAAGTGAGTAATTTACATACCTCTTGCTCCTTCTGCAGTAATTCCATAGCTTCCCGAAATTTCCTTTCCTTTGCCTCAGTTTCAGCGATGGTGGCCTTGTTCTGGTCCTCATATGCCATTGTTACTACAGCCAGAATCAAGTTGACTAGATAAAATGAGCCCAGAAAGATGACCATCATGAAGAAGACTACATACACCTTCCCAGAAGCTCTGAGGGTCTGCAAGCAACACACCCCAGAGATAAACATTACCACAAAAAGCACCAGGTAGGCTTTCAACGTGTTTCTGAAATTCTTCAAAAGCACTGAGCTTCCTAGACACAATGCCTCAGGAAGCTTAAATGGAATCATAAATTTCTTTGCTGCTCTTCCCTGCCTTCCTTCCTCCTCCAATACCCTCCCATTGTAAATTGCATGAAGACGATGAAGGAAGCACTTTTACATTTTTGAAGGACAGTACAGAATCCTTTTAGGATTTTTTTTCCAAGAGTAGGGTGAAAGAGTTGGGAAGCACTTCAACATCTCTTTTCCAGGAGTCACAGGCAGAAGGAAGGACCATGAGCCTACCAGGGCCATGCCCTGGAAGAGGCACACCATAGGCTCTCGCCATTCTCCCCAAGTTAGGGTGACAAGAAAGGAATGATGGGAACAGTTATGCAGATTAACTTATTCCATATAAGGTGATGTTATGAACCCTGCTTTCTGATTGGTTAGTCTTGTGTACTATATAAGGTATGGTTTCTGTTCCTCTTTGTTCTTTGGTTCCCTGCCCTCTATATATAAAGTTCGTGTATGCCTGTTTTCACGGTTTTCTGGAGTAGCTCCCTACAGTGTACAGTTTATGTTTTTGTTGTGCATTTATTGCTGGTGCCCCGTTTATTTTCCTTTATTAAACTTTGATTTTTGAGCACTCCTGTTGTACCTGTCCCTATTTTAGTTACTGCCACACTCCCACCTGACCCTGTCCTGGGGTTGCACCCACCATCAGCAATGAGGGTTCATCCAGCAACACCCTCACAGATGAATCATTGATTGTACATCCTATTGAGACATCCAAGGAGGCATTTTTACATTTTTGAAGGACAGTACAGAACTCTTTATAGGACTTTTTTCCAAAAGCAGAGTGAAAGAGCTGGCAAGCACTTCAGCATCCCTTTTCCAGGAGTCACAGGCAGAAGGGAAGGTGTGGGCTCAATGACCTGCAGCTATTGCTTTTATTTGAGGTTTCTTGTCCTCTCTACACATTTTCTGCTTCAACCAATGAATATCAGTTCTAAGCCATGCACAAAACTGGTACCTGTTGGTACAGACGCTCCCAGTAGTCCTGGGTCATCAGGCGGAATAAGGAGAGAAAAGCCCAGCCAAATGTATCAAAACTGGTGAAACCATAATCAGGATTTGGCCCAATTTTACAGCATTTATAGCCAGGAGGACAGTCCCTGGAATTAATAACAAAAAGTAGGGTTCTTGTAAATGTGCAGATTTCAAGGAAAACCCCAGCTTTATGCAAGAGTTCCGATTATGTTTCAGCTCTGCAGTTCATTAGAGTGCAAAACACTTCTCTACTCCAGGTAGTATTGGCTGGAAGGAGGGATGGAAAAATCAGCACCCACAATCCAGAAACAAAGGAAGAAGACAGGCTGGAGTAGAACACCAACCCAGGACAGCCCCCTCATCACCAGTCCTCATCCCCTGCCCCTCACTGCAAAGCAACCACTCTCCCTCCTTGCCCAAACCTGCCCTCCAAAATTCTTTTTTTGTTTTTCCAGTTTAATGCTCATGAGCCTTCACAGAGAGGAGTGTCTGTCCTGTGCTATACCCCAGATCTTTCACATTTTCAGTTCTCTCACACATCCATGGGAAAAAGGAAGACAACACTTCAGGAAAGTCTAAAAGACTAATTAGATCTGAATGCAAGTTCATACTTCATTCCCTACAAGAATTAAATTATCTGACTGCTATACTTTATTTTCTGTGTTCCTGTTTCTGCATTCAAGGAAAGCTTGGAATTTCTGCTTTTGTCTCACATGACTGAGCAAATATAGGAGCACTGAGGCAGAGAAAACTTCCAAGGAAGAAATAATCTTAAGTCACTCACCCACCACCAGGACCACACAGCAAAATATCCGAAGAACCATTTTTCCTAGCAAAGTCAGCTATTAAAAAAAAAAGGAAAAAAATTAAACCCAGGGTACTTTCTAGCCTGAATATTCTATCGTTTAATATTAGAAGTGATGAGTAACCAGTGACCTGTAAGAGTGAGAGCACAGGTTTCCCATGCTCACATTAACTGCACCAGATTGCAGGATGCCCTGGCCTCATTTATACACATGAATATGTGTATGCATGAATTTCAGACTGAAGGTACTCCTTTAATGTAGAATTTTTACAGTTATTATCACTTCGGCTATGTCTGTATAAAGAAAATGAAGAATTGGAAGACATAGGCTCAAATGCAGTCACAGAATCCAGGAGTGGTTCAGGTTGGAAGGGACTGTAAAACTCATCTCATTCCAATCCCTGCCATGGGCAGGGACACCTTCCACTGTCCCAGGCTGCTCCAAGCTCTGTCCAGCCTGGTCTGGGACACTTCAGGGATCCAGGGCAAGCCACAGCTTCACTGGGCACCCTGTGCCAGGACCTCACCAATCTCTCAATAAAGAATTTCTCCCAAACATCTAATAGAAATGTTAAACCCATCCAATATTTGCTAAGATATTTGCCGATATTTTGCTAAAATATTTTCCAGTATTTTTAAATGTTGGCACAAACTGGCAGAGTTCTGGCCTGTAGCAATTACCCTTCTCCAAGAGCATGTGCAAACATTGCTAGGAGTAGAATAGACCAGTTCTGTTTCCAATGAGCAGCAAAAAAGCCCAGTTCTGAGGGGGAAGAAAGAGTTTTTGGTTGTGTGAATATCCACAACTGCAGAGCCAAAAGGCAGCTCCTAGCCCTGCTTAGCAGAGAAATGTAGATTTATCCATTAGGATGTTGGAGCTGTGCCCTTTTTGAACTCTTCCCCTCTTTCTCTTAGCATTAGTTACTCTGTTATCAGCAGAATGAAAGTAAAAGCTTTAGCTAATAGCCAATTATATCCATTAAGGTGTGGATTTATTATCCCAGACGTAAGGGAGGTTTCACATGTCCCTGGTGCTTCTCAAGCCTCTCCTATGCACATCAGACAAGCCAGCATGATTCAGAGCCACCAGGAACCTTTGATATCAGCTCTGCCCATACCATGTAAATACCCCATAAAGGAATTAATCCCTATTTGGGCTACTTTTTACTGGAATTTTGCTCAGCTCCACTCCTGCAAACTGAAAAAGAAGTTTTTTAAAAAAGATTCAGTGATTGAATCACAATAACATTTAGTTCTCCATGTAGGAGATGGGAACTTCCTACAAAACCAGGAAGAAGGCAGTCCATAAAAAAATATAAAAATAGTTTTATAGAAAATTTGGCTTATAGGACTGTGCATCCTAAATCCTGTAAAAAAGGCATCTACCAAGCATTAAACCTGTCTGAGCTCTCCTATTCCTTTTGGCATAGGATTTGTACAACACAAAGGTTGTGAAGCAACACAGATTTTATATTTTTCGAGCTGTTTTCTCCATATCATTGTGTTTATACAGCTTCAATGTTCTGCATATACTAAAAAATAGATATTTTTGCTTCTTGTTCTTCAGCACAAACAATCAGCATTTTCAGCCCAACTTTGTCTCATCCATGGTCTCTGCTGTGGTGTTCTAGTCACTGATTGATTCCTGTTCAAGTTTGCTTTCAATTGTGATTTTTACAGCATTCTGTACATGTAAACTACTTGGTTTTTATGTGTGGTCTTTTGGTAGGAACAAGGAAAAAAAAATGGTTTTCCTCAAAAATCTTTTCTACAGTTTTTTCTCATGGATTGTGAAGTTATTGAAAAAATCCTGTCTGAACAAATCTCCCACAGAGAGTGTGAACAAACAGCAATTCTGGGTGACTTTTCATGTATTTCCAGAGTTCTCCTGGGAAATTTTTTTTCTTCCTGTACATTTGCTGCTGTGTCTGAACTCACTGGGAGAGATTTTCTTCAGTGATGAAGCTTTCTTCATATTTTTGGCACAGACATTGATTATTTTCAGTCTGTTTTTTTCACATATACTGAGTTTTCTCCTTTAACACAAGGCTTTGCTTTGCTATTCTGAATTGCATCTTACAGGTGTTCCTCTGGGGATGCTTTGATGCATTTTCAGATCTCTGCTCCACGGTTCCATCACCAGCCTCAGCCAAGGTGTGAACATGAAACACATGTATTGTAGATATCTTATATATCTTATATAAGACATAAAATAAGATATATTTGATGTCAAGAAGTAAGTAATTTGACTTTTCAACTAATTCCTCTGTTTTAGAGCTGAGGAGCAGTTCTCACTGAGCAGGAAAATGAAGATGCATTGGCTCTTGAGTCTGTAGTAAAAGGTGAACTTTGGGGAATAACAACAGAGAATGAGCTAATGCATGTTTCAGTCATATCATTAAGGGAAACAGATCTGGATGTTACTGGAAAATTTGGGAGTGCTTTTTTTCTTATAATGAAGGGAAGGAATGCATTCCTGGACGCCTGTAAGCTGCTCTGGCAATCAGAAGGCCATTATCAGGTAGTTACTCATCAAAACATCAACCAAAACATCCTATTCACAGCAGTGATTATACATGTGTGCATTGGTGTCTATAGCACCATCTAAAGAAGAATTAGGGAGAAAAAATTACCTGAATCATTCATAAACTCTTCATAACTGTCCCATGTTTTATTAAAAAGCTCTGAAGTGTTCCTGATACACTTTTGCCTGAGATTGCCCTTAAAAAGCTGGAGGCCTATGAGGGCAAAAACACTCAGGCAGAAAACGGTCAGGATCATCACATCAGCAAGCTTCTTAACAGACTGGATAAGGGCCCCTACAATGATCTTAAGCCCTAAAAAAACAATATAAAAAGGAAAAACAGGATGAAAAACTGAGATTCAGATATCATACTTGATCAGATTTAAAACAATGTATAAAAGCCAAGTATAAGAATTACAGGATAATATATGGCAAATATATTTGCTATACAAGTATGTTTAGGGTGAGAGTGACTAATATGAGAGAAATATTTTTTCCTCCTTTCTTTGACCCTACAATTTTAAGATGTTCCTCTAATCCCTGAAAAATATTCATGCAAAGATAGCGAACCAGAGATCATCAGTTTTCTTTATCCATGAAAAGTAATATGCCTAATTCAAATTATACTTCCAGCACTGGTAATTTCTGAAGATTATATCCAATCTGAACTTCTCCTGACAGGTACTGATGATGTAAAATAATTAGTAGTAAAGAGTCGCCAGTATGCAGAATTATTTCTGTGGAACCACAGCACACACATTCTGTAAAACTGACATTATAAACTCTGAACAGTATCTATAAAAGCATAATGAAAACAAACTATATTTGATATTCTTTCTTACACTTGATTTATTCTGGCTGGGACAGATTAACTGAGAAACAAATTCAGCTGTGTCTGTCTGGGACAGATTAACTGAGAAACAAATTCAGCTGTGTCTGCAACTTATGAAAGACACAGGGAAAAAAAATACAGGCAAAAGCCACAATTTTGAATGAAGCGAAGAATGAGTTGTAAATAGGAGAAAGTACTCAGCAAGCAAGATTTCTTACCTGGGACTATTGAAATGGTTTTTAAAGCCCTGAGAACCCTGAAAGTCCGTAGGACTGACACATTCCACCGTACATTGACTATTCCCACATACCTGTAAAGAGCAGATGTGAAATACCAAGTGCTTGAACAGAGTTAACAGGGCAGTTATTTACAGTGGTCATTCCTGGATGTCAATCTTTCCAAGCATGTTTTAAGCTTTAGAAAGCTACATATCAAGGATTTGTCTATTTATCAAACTGAAATGCTTTTCTTCATTATTAGTTTCCCTCTGAGGTGGCTCCTGGCTTGTGCACAGCTGCTTTTGTGTGAGCATCTTTAGACATCATTCATTTAAAATACAAAGGTACCACTCAATATTATGAATTTACAAATGCTGGCTGAGATGTTTTGATCTCCCTTCTGTAGCTGCATTTAACCAGGATATAGAAGCTTGCTAATTACCAGAAAATCAGGTTTTAACTACGATTTTTGGAGATGTAGCCATAATTTAATCCACTATCCTGGTGTCTATACCCATCACCCTAACTGCAAAATTATATTTTCATTCATGGGGTCAGCAAGTCTGTATTTTTACCCAGCTCTTGCATTTCACCAGTCTCAACACATCCCTTCACAGATACCCAATACTGGGAATATCTTGCTCTGCACAGCTCTGCTCTCTTCTTGAAAGACTAAAATATTATTGTAATACAGGGAGTGCTAAACAAGGGGAAAAGTCAATGTTTTAGACAGTTTCCGGTGCAATTAGGAGCCATGGGCTGGTTTTTAAACCACAGACAGCCTTTTGCACCACAGCAATGAGAATTTCTAGCACAGAGAGAGGAGGCAGGTAATCCATGTTTTTATTTGTTCCCACTTACGCCATGACAATAACGGAGAAATCCAACCAGTTCCAGGGATCCCGGAGGAAAGTGAATTCATTTAGACAGAATCCTCTTGCCAATATTTTTATCAATGATTCAAAAGTGTAAATGCCAGTGAAAGTATATCTAAGGAAGGGAGAAAAGAGCCAAATGGAAAGAGCAGTGTTAGCACTCAACAGAAAAGCCACAGTCAGACTATTTAATGTTTGGGCCAGCAAAGTGAGACAATGCTGGAGAGAACAAACAGATTTCTGGTGGATTTCAGTGTATTCCATCTGTATCTGTGTCACATGGAGCTGGAAACAGTAGCTGACTGCAACCTGGACATGACTATTGATGTGCAACCCATAACAGACTTTTTGGCATTCAACAGTTTTTTCCAAATTCTTCCTGTGAAGCTCCATAATTTCAGAAACACCAGACTCCCAGTTACTGGATAAAATAAAGATCCAAATTTCTATCTTCCTCCACTTTCAAGTGGCCAAGTGAACGTGTGATGTGCTGTGTTTTTTCCTTTGGGCACACAGCAACCATTTCTGTGTAGAATATTAAAAACACTTAGAGGAATACAAGAGAAGAGGGTTTTCAATTTAAGATGGCAATTATTCTTATTAATGGAAAATTATCAGTAAAAGCTCTTCTGGACTTAACTGAGTGCACTTATAATTTCAAGGAGGCACTGATATCCCTACAGAATTCAAAAGGCTTTCATTTGGTAGCCAGCAAATGCACTAAGAAATTATATGGATGTAATGCTTCCCTTTTTATTTGGAAAGAAGTATTCTGAAATTATTCTTGAAATGCATTTGAATGGTAGCTGATGTCAACAGCAGATACAACTCTGATCCAACCTTTAACTCTCTCATAGGTGGAGTGGCATCTCTGCATCTTCTGGTGTTTTAATACCATGCAGAGTTTTGTTCCTGCTTGCATGACAGTTTGCCATTCCAAACTGTTTCAGTGTCATTTAACATGATATAGTAAAAAAATACTTTTAAACATGTTTTTAATACTAAGTATTTGGGAATCTTCTCCTTCATGTTAGGTGTTAGAATCATCAGTATTTGTATTCTAGTATTTTTGCCAAAGTGAAAAAGCGACAGCTGAAATAGTCTCTAAAAAAGCCCCAAAACAAACAAATCCATGGCATTATACATTTCAAGACTGACTGCAAAACATGGATTTATTGTGATTTAACATTGCAGGTGTTGGCAGCACTGAAGATAAAAGCTTTCCATTCTACCAGCACTCTGCAGGCCAAGTGCTTCTGAAAAGAACATTTTATTAGAGCAAAATTCAGGATTTCAATATAATTAGCCAGAATTTTGAAAGACAGCAACTGTCTGTGCTCAATCAGCATCAGTAGCAACAAGAAATACATCTTGATAGAGAGAAAATAATTACTGAGTAACTTCAAAAAGTGGGAAAACTGGAGCAGCAAGAACAGACATGAAGCCAGTTCAACAGTTGGACCTAATCAGCACTTATTCTGTCCTATTACACCAAAATTATTGTATATAGTAGGCTTAAAGAGAAAGCTACTTCCTCAAATAAAGTCTAAATTTAAAAACCCCCTTAAGACAAGCAACTTTCCCTTTAAATCTCCCACAAATTATCTCAAATGAAAGTGTCGAGTCTCCATAACTCAGTACAGCTACATAAATAAAAAGCATACATACCCACAGATACTTACTCAACATATGTGCTCCATGAAGGTGATGAAGACTTGTGTGACTCAGAGCGAGCCATGAATACACAATTAGTTATGATGGTGCACATGATAAACCAGGTGAACCATGTAAGTCATGGGAGTGAAGGCAAAGAATATGACATGGATTCAGAAATGTGACTAAACATTGCATCAGCCACTGGCTGATATTATCTGGCTTTTTGTTTAAAGCACTTGTAAGAACAGCATGCACAGGTATTCAGTGATTTTGAGCCATGCTAGATGGCAACACACTATTGCTGTTATTCAGGGATTTCTGTATTGATTATAGATCTGCTGCTCTAAGCATTTCCAGCCTGGAAAAAGGACCCTCAACTACTTTAGGACTGGGTGGAAGGATGCAATTTTAGTTTCATTTGTTGGCATACAAGTTAAACACTTGCCCAAATCACACAGGTGGAGCCCAAACCTACCTCTGACCTGGAAGAGCTCTTCTCTTCCAAACGACAGCATGAAATCTGACAGTGTGATTGCAGGAGTCTCAAACAGCTCTAGATCATAGCATCACAGGACATGCTGAGTTTGAGGGGACCCATCAGGATCATCAAGGCCAAGTCCTGGCCCTTTTCAGGACATCCCAAGAGTCACATCATGTGCTTGAGAGCATTGCTTCAGGCTGGTGCTGTGACCACTCTCTTGGGGAGCCTGTTCAGTGCCCAGCCACCCCTGGGTGAAGAACCTGTTCCTGATATCCAACCTAAACCTCCTCTGACTTGGCTCCAGCTGTTTCCTCAAGTCCTGTCACTGTTCACCAAAGCAATAACATCAGGGTCTGCTCCTCCGCTGCCCCTTACAAGGAAGGTGAAGGCCAGAATGAGTCTCCCCTCAATCTCCTCTTCTCCAGGCTGAACAGACCAAGTGCCCTTAGCCACTCCTCACATGGCTTCCCCTCCAGACCATTCACCATCTTCCCTGCCCTGCTTTGGATGCTCTCTAATAGATTAATGGGGTTTTTATATTGTGATGCCCATGTTTAGCCAACTCCAGGGGCTCCCCAGGTGCTGCCTGGGACCTGCTGGCCCAGAGAACAGGAGCTTGGGCAGCGACCTCATATGTGGACACCAAAGCTCAAGGACATGATTGTGACAATGTTCACAGGGGTCTTAGGATGAGGGAAGAGATGAGGATCTGACTCCATGTTTCAGAAGGTTTGATTTATTCTGTTATGATATATATTATATTAAAACTATACTAAAAGAGTAGAAGAAAGGATTTCATCAGAAGGCTAGCTAAGAATAGAAAAGAAGGAATTAATAACAAAAGCTTGTGTTTTGGACAGAGAGTCCAAGCCAACTGACTGTGATTGGCCATTAATTAGAAACAACCACATGAGATTAATCACAGATCTACCTGTTGCATTCCACAGCAGAAGATAATAATTGTTTACATTTTGTTCCTGAGGCCCCTCAGCTTCTCAGGAGGAAAAATCCTAAGGAAAGCATTTTTCAGAAAATATCTTGGCTACACATGATCTGGGGCTGGATCTCATGCCTTGTTGTACCACACATGTGGGCAATCCACATGGAAAGACATCCATCTTGGCCATTATCCATCCCCTCCATCCTCACCAAAAAACAAATCCTGGCTTTAGCTCTAGGCATGGTCCAGCAGTTAAAAGGAGCTGAGCCAGTCAAGGAAATGCAAATATCAGCCAAATTCCACCCAGAGAAAGCCCCAGATGAGAGGCACTGCTGTTCCAGGGATGTGTGCACACTGCTGTGATGACAACCTCGTGCCATTGAGGTTACCTCACACCACAGATGGCTGGAAATCTGAAATCCACATAGGGACATCACAGACTCCACTCTGGGTCTGGTTCAGTCTGAAGCCACAGCTCAGGTGTCCTTCCCCATGCCAAACTGGAGCAATACACTCGTGATTCTCCCCCACTAAATTTGATATATGAGGTGGGATCTATATTACCTTTATATTCCCATAGCCTTCTCTGCAACAGAATTCGGGAAATTTTTACTTTCATATACCACCATATGTACACTTTTTCAATCTTATTTCCCAGAGAAACTAAGTCTATATGGGTTTTGTTTCCTGCGTGTGCTTGCCTAACTCAACCTTTTCTCTCAAAACTGGCCAATGGTTGATCAGCTTTGGCACATGAGTTTAATTTAATTCCCACATTTGGGTAAGCAGAAGATGAAAAAGAGGATAGAGATCTTATCAATCTTCTCACTGGGAAAGGCTTCAGAATGAGGTATTTGTTTATGACACATCAAGAAATCAATATCAAAGCTGAAAACACAAATCTGTAGAAAATCTTGCTTAATAAGCCAAATACTCACAAAACTTATTTCTGTGTATCACAAAAGTACCAAAATCACCTAATAATAGCTAATAATAGCTAATAATAGCTAATAATAATCACCTAATATTATCTAAGGTGATTCATAATTAGAACCTATCTGTAGTGAGGAAAAGACCAGATTAACTCAATGCTGTAAAATACAAAAGCACAGGATTATGTAGGGTTTTATAATCGAAAAGAGTGAATAAAGCCAATAAAAGGATATGAATGTACTAAAATTTTAATTGCTCTTCTTCGTATTGGGTGGAAAGGACTGAAGATCCACAGGGCACGTGTAGCAGTAAATCTGTAGATTATTTTCTGCTTGTTTAGCACTATGAAAACCTTTTAAAAATAAACAAACAAGAATTTGTCAGGAAGTTGAACACGAAACTTATATTTGTGCTATATCCTGTTGTGTCAGTCATGAGCAAGAGCTTGAATTTCACTTTATCCTGGTTAACTGGAAAGGCTGAATACATTTGCTATCCTTTCATTAGAAACTTCAGCTCTCAGGCTGCAAATTATTCCTTAGCATAAATTTCTTTTTTCAACCTTGTGATTTGCAAAGAGCTGTGCACAAAATTAATCTTGCTAATGATTATTCTCTTAAAATAGAACAAAACCCTCATTGAGTCAAGATATACAAGAGGTGCAATGAAGAACTGCAGCCTTTTTCATTATTTTCTATTGTTGACAGTGATCCTCTAGCTCCTGGACTGTAGAAATTAGCTCAGTGTTTAACATCCTCTCAAGCAAAAAGCGTAATTCCCAATGGATTAGTTTCCATTTCTCAGTTTGTTATTGAAAATCATATTTTTCAGTATGTCTCAACTGGAATATGGAGCTTGAGTCAGGAGATTGTAAGGATTCATCAGCAATTATTTAAAATAATCTTTATGCTTAAGTATCATTTATTGTATGTGTAAGTGGAACAAAAGTATTGAGATGGAGTGAAATGCATTGTTCAAAACTATGGAATTTACGAAAATGTACAAAATCATATACAAAATTATGTACAAAATTACTAGAACTCCTAATTATTATAATTTCTTTCCCAACCCCCTTTTCTTTCTTCATCCAGCTTATTTTTTCTGCTTCTATTCTGATTCAAAACTTAATTGATTTCATATTACTTCATTCTAAAAATTTAAAGTTCATCTTTTTTTAAAAAAGATTACCGCACATCACTCAGCTGTGCCAACTGCATGCATTGTTTAACCTAGAATGGGATGAAAATTTGTATAAAGGGATGTAGGCAGAGCTCTTTGACAGATTTTCCACAGAAACTTTTGGCAATGCAATAAATGAAATTTAATTAATTAAAAATAAAATCCAAGGATCTTGGTTGGCTCTAACCTTATGATCTTTGTAGTACGGGTCGACATCCTCCAGTGCTTCCCCAATGAGCTCTGGAGGAGGATTTCCATAGAGAGCTGGCAACTTCTGGAAAGCTTTGAGGTCAAGCTGAGGACGATCCTTCTCCTCAGGTTTCTGCTCTGTGGTACTTTTCGGACATTTCTTTTTGGCAGCAATTCTCTTTTTGATGGCTGCCAAGGATTCTTGAGTGAACCTGCGGAAGTTGTTGGTACCAGGCCCCAAGAATTCAGCCATTTTTCATGCTCCTCTTCCTGTCACTAATTCTGTCCAAACAATAGAAACAGGTAAAAAGGAAGTCAAGGAACTCCAAAACAGGCAAGTTATGGAAATGAAACAACTGTTAGCCCATGCATAGTAAAGAAAATCAACTTTCTAAGCCATCAGGTTCTACAAAGGAAAAGAAAAGAAGAAAATATATGATGAATACCTTTTTCAGTGAGATGTCTGCTCAGTATTTTTTTGAATTATTTGCACAGATAGGATGTGAGCAAAGCTCTATAAACTTAAGAGTGTATTTGGAGGACCTCATATAAGATACACATAATCCTAAACGCTCTTCAGCTGCTCAGAACAAAAAAAACAAAACCCTACTCTGGTTCAGCCCAATATTTCAAAATGGGACAGTAAAACCCATCCAACTGCAACATCAAATGTGTGGAAGTTGTCAACAACAGAAGAATCAAGTATTAAATTAACTAGTGCAGATGGGAATACTCAGATGGAAAGTCCATCCTGGTGGAGCCAGCACAGGAATGAGCAGCATCCAAGAGTATTTAATTTGTGACACACAGAGGATGGAGCACAGAAATGCTTGATCTGACAAAGTTTATATTTTATGCCTTCCTCTCAGAACAAAAATATTGAGAATAGGCTAGAAAAACACTTTGCATTTTTTATTAAGAAATCTAGCCAGGTTTTGGATAGAATCCATCCACTAAACACAACCTGAGTGCATGCTCTGAAGGAAATTTCTCCAAAATATTTTCTTTGATTCTGACCTCTGGGTGGACGTTGTTAATTCAGTGAAGGGTCAGGGAACTCCTGAGCCTGTGCAGCCCCACTGTGCAATGATCCCACCTGGCTGAGGGCTCTCCCTGGAGTGGATCAGTGCTGAGCAGGCATAGAAGATCACCTAGAGGCACTCAGCCAGGATTTTTCATTCAGAAACTGCCACCACCCTTTCAAGTGTGCTTCAAATTTTAACTCCACAACAGCAGTGAGAACTTAATCTTGAAATTTAAAGTCTCCTGCCTGACAACCTATTCTTCCACCTTTCTTTTCCAGACACTACATGGAACACCCCAGGAAAGCACAGCCTGAACCAAGAGGCTTTGTTTTACTTAGTAAACAATTTTTCTGTGTGTGCTGACTGCCTGTACCTTCCCCGTCATGCAATGCCTTTTCCTTTCTCCCCAGATACAGCATGATTTCAGCTGACCTCACATTGCTGAGCTGTAGGAAACCATTGCTGTGAGAACAACAGCTGGAGGCCAGTGCCAAACTAACTGCAGTGAAATTGCTCCATTTTTGCAGTCTGCCTGCCTCTCCCATTAAAGCAGCACACGAAATTATGAATACGAGAAGTAACTCTTGCTCCCAGCACAAATTAACATCATTTCTGGAAGAGAAATAGGACAGTCAGGCAAGAGTACTCATTATTCCATACTTTTCAATATAAGGTTAATAGTCTGGAAGCTGTGTGTAATGTTAAAGCAAAAACAAAAACTACAACATCCACCCACAAGATTTCAAGCTTTATCTAGACAAAGTGGTGTTTGTTTTGTTGATGCTCAGAGTAATTCAGATGTTGTGGTATCAGTAATGGGAGCTGTGAATGATGCATGAAAAGATGCAATTTCTGTGCAATGCACAGAGGGAATACAGTAATTACTTTATTAGACTTTGTGCCAAATTTTCCAAACATACTCATCCCTCCACTTCCATAAAAGTTTACCTGATCTCAAAAGTTCGCCATTAAAATTCTGTGTTTGTTGCAGATTTCATTGTGGTTTTATGTCTTCCCTTCCAAGAAACCATCTTGTAACCTTCCAGAAAATAAACTTTGATTATTTTCCCTCAAGACTACTCCAGGGCAGAGGAGATTCTAGGAAAACAAGAGGTTGCTGGCTAAAGCCAAGGATGGGGAATTGGAAGGAAGCAGGAGGGCACACGGAGCCTGGAGTCCTTTGCCAGAGCCTGGAGAGCAGGCAGGGAGATCTTTCCTGGTGGTTTTATAAATTGCTTCAAACAGTTATGGAAAAATTAATTTTTCAAACATTAGGGGAAGGAAATCAAGCCTTGAGCTTGTTGTCTCACATGACAGCAGCAAAATTTCCATGAGAACAGCTGCAAGCCATGGAGGAAAAGGCTAAAACTGCACTTTTCATCCATGGGCAAGTCTGAACATATCAGCCTAATGCTGAATAAAATCTAACAATTTTAGAAATTGAGTAACTGGGGACAAAATGTCCCTGATTCATTCAAGCATCTTTAAAGTATCTCGAAAATAACTTCTGTTACTCAGAGTCTCAGGGAGGGTGGCACACAAAAGACAGTTGAGATGTATTTAGTTTTTATGTGAGCAGGTATCAATGGAGCAATTTGACCTAAAGTAGAAAAAAATGTAAATTCAAAACCATTTCTCCCCTTCATGTCACAGAACAAACAAAGTAGAATTTTGGCCTTTTCTCAAGACTTGAAATACCTACAAAACAGTGTGACATTTAATATCTCTTAAAAATTAAAATTTTTCTTATTCTTGGACTTCCTGGAGACGAAACACTGATACCGAAATCACCATGATCAAAGAATAATTATTTAAATTAAAAGCCACAAAGAAGCAAACAAAAAAGCATTTATCAGCTATTAAACATGCTTTTCTATCAGCTGTCAAACATACTTTCTATTAATTATTTCTCAAATACCAAAATGTATAGCTGGATATATTTCCAAAGTAAGGATACCTTCTTCCAAATATATTTTCCTCTTTAGGAATACTCTTTGTAAATAAACTGGGAAAGAATGTTATTGTCAAAGATATTTTCTCTCCTTTAATTGCGATAACAATCACCCCAATTCAATCCCAGTTAATAAATAAGCTTTTGCTCAACTGTTTGCTTTTATGGCTTTGTCACCTGTTATAAAAAGAGGTGGAAATGTTGATTATTCCTGTGTTCAGCATTACCAAAGTAATTAGTATGATCAGAGTGGCCAGGATTACCCTATTTCTTTTTGTTTGGTTGGGTTTTTAACTTGGCAGATTGTTACTATGCTTCACTTGGGCTGTGTAACATCTTTCTATGCCTGAATTTCCAGATAAGAAGTCAAACTTTTCTAGAAATAAATAAAAAATGTAAGTAATAGGAGGTCAAAGTTTCTGTAGAACTGTTCTACTCTTTCCACAAAAATGTTTCTGTGTTTTGAGGCAGATGATTTAATCAAACCAAACTGACATTTTCCTAATGGCTTCTAAGATATTTAACATGTTAAAATAACACTTGCATCTTAACACGTGTAACTTTTTAATCAGAGAATAATTTGGGTTGAAAGGGAACTTAGGAGGTTCCTCAAAATGGATAAATCACAAGGTCAGGGCTTTACCCAGACAAATCTCCAGGAACTGAGTTGGCACAACCTCTTTGAGTGACCTGTTCCAATACTTGACTGTCTCAACCCATTTGGACCCCCCTTTTTTTTTAATTTATGCCTCTTGTCTTCCCACTATACAAAACTGTCACAACAAAAAAGAAAGAAAATATTGCATTCATAGAATAATTGAACGGTTTGGGTTGGAAGGGATCCTTAAGATTATCCAGTTCCAGTCCCCTGCTATGGGCTGGAACATGTTCCACTATCCCAGATTGCTCCAAGCTCTGTCCAAGCTGACCTTGAACACTTCCAGGGATGGGGCAGCCACAGCTTCTCTGGGCACCTTGTGCCAGGGCCTCACCACCCTCACAGGAAAGAATTTCTCCCTAGTATCCAGTTTAAATCTGTCAGTTTCAATCCATTGTCCTGCCACTCCATTCTCTTGTCTCCATTCCCTCTCCAGCTCTCCTGGAGCCCCTTTAGTCACTGGAAGGAGCTCTGAGGTCTCCCTGGAGCCTTCTCTTCTCCAGGTTGAACATCTCTCTCAGTCTGTTTTTTATTTGAAAGGTAAAAGGCAGCCCCCAAAATGCCTCTCTATAAGGAGAGCACACGTTACCCCTTCTTCAGCCCATTTAGTTGCTCCTCCATTGCAGCCTGCAAGGAACTTCTCCCAGGTCTGGTTTCCACCATCCTGTGCAGCTCCACTGAGATTGCAAAGGGAGGCAGACCCTACATCCTCCTTGAAATCAGCAAAATTGTGAATTCAGAGCCGCTAATGATGAGTAAACACAGAGATTAACACAAACACATGGAGAGCGCCAAAAAAAATGCAACAAATTTTTCTCACTAGTGTGAGACAAATCCCCACTCTTTATACTGGGATTTACTGTTCTGGGCTGGGAAATGAAGGTAGCAAACAGTCTGGAGCTTCACAAAATAATTCACCTGATAAAACCAGTTAGCATTCATCCAGAATGCCCCTCTAGGTGGGATTCCTTTTACCTCAGTGCAGACACCTTGGAGTTACACAGTTACACCTCCATGAACTCTCACATTGCCTGCTGAGACCCCTTTCCACTTTTACTTCAGGAAAGAAGTGCCAGGACATCCCTCTGTCTGTCCAGAACGCCCAAGACCCCTTCCAGGGGGCTCAGAGACCCTGGCACAGAGCCCAAAACACCTGTGGGTTTGATTATGACCCATGGAGCAAGTTACCAACCTTAGATGAAGATCTGCAAGCCTCGACAATTTAGCTAGAATAATAGCGAAGTTGTCACGGAGTGAAAAAGGTAGATTTTGGGGGTTTTGCTATGGGGGTTCAGGAGGCAAGATGGAGGAATCTGGGCATGTCCTGCCTTTCTCCTTCTTCTTCTTGGCCTCCAAGTTCTGCTGTGATGTTGGCACTTTTAGATTGGTTTAGAGTAGAAGCTCACTGTCTAATATAGGTGATAGGTATTGGAAAGTAATTGTAAATATTGTACAA